AATAATGGCTATTGTGCGAATGCACTCATGCGTTGCGATTAGTAGGCATCGCGGCCGCGCAGCAGCGTTTGCGGGCTCAAAAAGAGATGGACCATAGAGGCTTTACACTAAAAAAAAACAAAACTCATCTTTGTCTTTTCTCCTTGCAGTTTTGTGCCTTTAGTTTCACTTTGGCACATCATGTAGTCTTCAATTTTTAAAATGATGATTTGTTCGTCGAAGTTTCTGTCACGTTATGAATTTTGCTTTTTCTCAAACTGTGATGTCTATAGCTGATTGTTGATCAGAAAGATGTGACTTTAGTGACTTTAAAAAGCCTCATAGAAAATTTTTGTGAAACTTCAGCTTCAGCTTCTTACTTTATCATCTTTGATCCGCTAAAAAAATCGGTTACGGTCCAATCACATAAAAACTCATCACTTTAATGCTTGTCGTTAGTGCAAAACTTCAGGTGTTACACTCTCGTCGACGATACGCTTTGAGCGTCATTGGATATGGGTTGATATCTGATAGGTGCATGTAACAAGTGTATAACGTTTTCTTATGGTTGTCTAATCTCAATTTCTCTTTTTTCGGAGATTTTTTATGCAAAGAATAGTTATGCGTCAGGTTATAGAAATTTGATCCTGCAATTCTTTCCCTGCATTGTAAAATGCGAACAAGCTTAACAAATTTGTGACGACTATGTAATCGAATCCAGCTTTTTGATTCTGGTGCTCCAAAATCATTTTCCCAATTCCAAAGGCATCTTTAAAAAATCATTACCTATAAGTCGGATTGAGGAAATTTAATTCTACAATCACTCCTCTGCAGAAGAAGAGTGAACAAGTTTGGAAAATCTATAACTAGCGCTGACTGCTAAAGTATTGTGTACGGTTTTAGGTTTATGGTTTCTCGCGTAACCTACGTTTCGAATTATTCTCTTGTGGTCAGACTCGACTAACATAAGAGTTTTGGGCTTTAAAAATTTGTGAGTGAAACTTATGTCAATTCCGATTATTGTTCAGCGGTAAGGTAGGTACATACAGGAACAATTTGTTATTTTTTTATAATAATCTTCTTATCCAACGTCTTCATGAGGTCACTTTATCTCCACAAATTCTAATTCGACTCCTCATTAACTCATTATGGGGACACTGAAATGTTCTATTTGTCTGTATTTATCGTGAGAATAATATTGCACAATTTTTCTTATAATGTCCTTACTATTTCTACTACAGATTAGCTACGACTTTTTATTTTCCTGGGAACACCATGTATATAAGAACACCTGAATGTGGCATGAATAATTGTGTACCTATGAGATGAACGCAGCTTCTCAAATAAGCTAGTTTGGTAAGATTTTGGAATTTTGGTAAGATAAGAAAAATTGTTTCTGGAGTTTTTGTTTGTTTTCAGAAAGAGCTACACAGCTATTTTCCACCTTTTTCCCAAGTTGAAATTGTTCTATCGGGTCAGCGACAAATCCGACACGATATTTTCATCGAGAAGCTCTTAGCGGCAAGTCGTACAAAGCAGATTCTAGAAAATTGAACATGAGGTGGTGGCTGCTCTCAAAAAATCACCACTGTTTACCAGACACTCCACTCTGAATCGCTCACTCAAAGACTAGTGGACGCAGCGTTGTCTTTCCTGATGACCACCGCTAACTCGTTTTCCGTGAAGCTTTTTGCGTTTTGCCAGCGGCGACAAGTTTTTGGAAATTTCATTTTTGGATTTTATTTTCTAAGCAAACTTGAATTAAGTGAGTTTGCTAAGCGCTCAGTAAGGCCTAAGGCATACCTCGCGCGATTCCGGTCGCTGCGCGATTTGGCACAAAAGCGACTCTTCGTAATTCGTCGTTAATGCGCTGCCTTTGGTTAGAACTTGCTCTGTTTGCAACAAGCTACACAAGCTACCCAAATATGCGACCGAGAAGTGCGCATGATAAATTTATAGAAATCTGGCAAGTTGCCAAGTCGCTTGAAAGTGGCGATTCGGCCGAATCGCGTGAGGTATGCCTTAGGCCTAAGGGTTGTATATCCTTCTCATTGTTACAGGCTTGTAAGTTGCATGAGAAGTAAGGAGGTTATATTGTTTGAAGTATTTGAGTTCCACCTCTAAAAAATATTCTTTTGAGAAATGCTTTTTATCCTCCACCCCCTCCCTCTTCCCTTTGAACCCCTTTTTTCGCCTCGTTGGGCTTCTCAAACTTTTCTGGATGGTCGCCCAATTCAAATAGAAGGTTTTGTCCAACTTTACACAGTTTTTTGAAGACTGAAATCTTAATTTTTCTGCACGAAAATTGGTGAAAAGCTTTATTGTCAAAAGGAATTATGATAGCAATTCATTACCCATAAGGTCCCCTTCAAGATCTTGCGACACATTTCTTCGAACTGGCCTGTTTTCTAGATGTGTCCTAGATTTTCTCCATCAATCTAGTTTTACTCAAGTTTTGCAACAATCAATTATTCTTCAAAATTTTCATGGGCTACTCATGATCTTAAAATTGTTGCAAAAATTTTTGTTAAATTAATATCGCCGATTCCAACTGCGCATGAAGATGAAGATGCCTGACCACTTTCAGCTCTAAATTTATTTTCATCTCTCTCTCTTAGTTTTACGTTCCTTGAAATTCTAGGAGACGTAAACTTATGTCATGTTTAACTCAACTCCGCTTCCCATGATTGTAATGACAGATGTAATGGATACAACGAGCCATACATATCTTCTTCTTCGAACAAGGTCACGGTTTTGGTAGTAGTCAGTCAACCTACTTTTATTCGGTTTATACCGTTTCTACTAATCTCTGTTTTATTCGATAGCTTCACATGTACAAACTAGTATTTCAAATAGCAAAGTGTGCGATTGCACACTAGTGTACATTTATGCGTGAAATCCAGCATCTATTTGGGCACTGTAAACACATCATTGGAGTGGTTTAGAAAAGGGTTTCTTCTGTAGTAAGTAGAAAATGTTTAAGAAACATTGAAGATCACCAGCTCGAAGGCAAACTTCTGCTATAGTCGTAACACAAATAGAGTAGTGGACAATTTTGAGTTTGAACTGGAGCAGGCCTTTGCGGTGGAGCACGCCACTATTAAAGGCAAAATAAACGGAGTGCTGAAATCCCGGTGACCAACATATCCAGCCTGCTCCAATCTTCAGAATCGTCTAACAAGGTATAGGCGTATCCCATGCGTATAGCGGGCGTGGCCCTGCAGACATTTGAACACGTTGAAAATAAAGTGGTTTTTGTAATCTCTAGCTACCAAAAACTGCCACGCGCATACGTTGGAAAACGTCGGCAAAGCTCCTCCCGCTATACCGTGGGGAATCGACGATATCTGCTGAGATGAGGACGAATATACTCAGGGAACCCGTAATTTTTCCGCGCAATCTTCTTGTCACCGTGCAATTGCAGACATTACCTTTGGAGCTAAAAATGGTTAGTGTGTATGTCCCTATTTTCTAGTGCTAAGCACAAGTCTCGTTTACACTGTCGCAACGATTATGACAGCATATGCTTGACTATGCTATAGTCAAGGCTCTTCGGCCTCGTAGGCTGTGTAAATGCAATCAAAATTTCTTCACCTCACCTCACGCAACTACTTCGCAGCACTTTGCCGCTTCATCCTTGTCGTGAAATCTTTTTTCCGCGCAATCCGCGGAAATCGCAATGCTTAGCTAATTATTGCGCCTTTCATCCTCAACGCGACTTGTGCCGGCTCTAAACAACCTGTGAAGTGTCGCTATCTAACCGGAACGCGAACGCCTCTCTGCAAACATTTTTCGTTCCGCGGATTTTCCACACTGTGGACAATCCACGCCTTTAGTATGTCTATTCGTCATTGTAATTTCAACTATTTTTCCCATTTCTTTCGTCCTCTTCAAGGTTCAACTCGAGCATTGGTGCTCCAAATGTTTTTCTTTTTGTTTGCGCAAAGGATGTTCCCGATGTGTTGAAGATGATGCATAGGCTCTTTTGTAGTTATCAAGATGAGAAAGCAAATTTTATCAGCTTTCATATTGGCGGGCATAGAAAGACCATCGCCATCACTGTAGCCGCCTCGCGCATGCATCGCGGTTGCTTGAGATCCTACGTAATTCTAGAAGAAATTTTCTGGATTAGAAGTTTTACTAACAATGCAGTCTTGGTGATCATTTCCGCTATCTGCGCAGAAAATGCCTCTTAGTCACTCTTAAGCAACAAACATTAGGTTTTGTAGTTATCCTGATGTTTGTGTAGCTGTCCCCATGCGGCGCGACTCAAAGGCATTCGGCACCACGCGCTGCCCTCGTTGCGACGTCATAACTGCTAAACAGTGGACTTTTTTCCTATCTAGACTAGACGTTTTTCTTAGTAGTTTGCAAATGTAAAGCAAATATTTTAATGAGTTCACATATCTACTTTTTGTACATATTTTCATTAGGAAGTAGAGCTTTGTGAAGTGTAAATGCGCGCGAGCGCATGCGATCGGCTGCACGACCGAACAAAAACATTCGCGGTATTAAACCGAATATATACCTCAAGATTGTGGGCATAGCAAAATTGGTTCAAGTTTTCTCTGTTCCAAAATGCGTCATTGCTGTTACTAGCGTGCACAAACGCGCCCCAAAAGTTGCAAAGGTCCCGATTGGAAAAGTGATAAAAATTCCATTCCATTTATGTAAAACTATCTGATTCTGCAGTACTAATTTATATTATATATAAATATTTTATTCGGTACTATTTTTTCGTTTTACTTTTTGCCTGTCTGCCGGCTTGCACCTTAAATCCTTTTGTTTGATGCCAAATTGCCTTATCATGCCTTATCGGCTCCATTTGCACTTCAAGTCTTTCTTTTCTCTCCTCAAAAATGGCTCCTTTACTGCCGCTCTGAAACTCTATCGCATTCAGATCTTGCTTAGTCATAACGATGGCGCCGGCGATTTGAGTTCATCGTTGACGTTTCTCTTGAAATTGTGCATGCGTGCGACATAATTCACTAATTTCACATTTTTATTGATTTTGCGTTTTCAGAGCTATGTCGACCAAAAGTGGTTCGACAGCCTCTTCGGAGCAGAACACTGTACAGTACGCAAATCCTTATCTTGGTCAACAATCAGCGAATACATCGATGGCATCGGAGAAAAGTGAAGGATGTAAGTTTACTTTGCTTTTTCCTTCCCTCTCATAAGCTCTAGATTTTGAGATTAAGATTTTAATGGTGAATGGGATTCGAATCAGACTTATTTTTATGACGAACTAGATGGCTTACCCGGCTCCGCCCGGCCCTGTCATTATTTTATTCGTAATCAGCATGCTCGATTACCCCCTGCGCCAACTCCCAGCCCCGTAGCTCAAATTTTGCAAAAAATCGATAAAATCGATATCGATCGATGACGAAAAGTAGCCTATGACACCCGCCGGGGCCTGAAGTGTATGTGTGTCAAGTTTGGTCCGGATCGGTTCAGAAATGGAATTTTCTATTCGGAACATACGTACAGACAGACAGACAGACACAGACATACATACAGACAGACAGACAGACAAACAGACATTCAGCTTTATATATAAGATTGTAAGTCTCTGTCTTATGTCTTATGCATCATGCGCTCAGTCGCGCGGGCGTATGCGTCCGCATGCGTGCGCGCATTCTCTTTTGTTGTTTCCTTCTATAGTCTGAATCCCGACCTCCTCGCATACCGTCGCAACGCAGCCCCTTTGCTGCCTTTGACGCGTTGGCGCCCAGCTCTAAGACCCGTCAAACTTCGCCGAAAAAGCCAAAGGCTCCGCAAAAAGCCTAACAGCGCCTAAAAAGCCGAGAAAAGTCCAAAAGCGCCAAAAAGAGCGGGAACGCCCCCTTTTCGCAAGTTCTGACGATAGGACATGTGTGCTGATTAAGCAATAGAGTTTTTTGTCTCATTTTCTATCGCATGCTTATCAAAATAATGCCAAAATTCCACTTAATGTTCAAGCCGGATGAAACAAAGTTCAGTGTAACTTAGCAACTGTAGTTTCTAGGAAAATGCATGAATTTTGGCTTTTCGTGCAGCCCAACTATTGTGTTTTGTTTGTGATAATCTGACTGTTCTGGCTCTTTGTCTAGTTCAAGCTTTTCTTTTTTCTGGGAATTCATGCCAAGAGTTCATGAGCATGGCTGCGTATTCTTGATTGTGCTGAAAGCCAAAACAAATGTCTACATCTCGTACTCCTGATCGTTAGATATTGAGTCTTTAGTGATAACGATGTTATTGTCAAAATACAGGGTTATTTTTCAATCGCGCGTAAAGGGGGGGGGGGCGTTCCGGCTTTTTCTGGCCCTTTGAGCTTTGCGCTTTTTGGGCTTTTTTCGGCGAAGTATAACGAGCCCCTAGGGTTTAGAAGCATCAAAAGACGCGTCAAAGGCAGCGTAAAGGTGCGAAAGGTACGCACAGCGGTTGTACCTATGGAAAGAATCTGAGCACGGACCATACGATGTGTCCAAGTTTTATGAAAATTGTGCTCCTCTTTCAACCCACCTCTTTCTTGATTCCGCCACGCTTTTTCATAATATATGCCAGAAGTAAATGTGCTTTTTCACATGTCTATCTATTTTCAGAACTTCCGGTTTTTTATGCTCACCACTCAGGACCATTTTTTATTCCTCAAGTTTTTGTTAGAAAATTTCAAGCGCCTAAAGTGCATCCTCACTTGAAGTGTAGTGACCGGTCTTCTTCTTCTCCCACTTCTATCGTCCACGCTGCAAACAAATTACCAGCTATTTCGGGACTTCTTCTCTGAATCTTCGAATTTTCTTGGTTGTTTGCTTCTGAATTCTTTCTCCATTTTTGTGAACATCCTTTCACCGCCTGTCATCGTCAGAAATTGCTTACAAGGGAGGTCCATTTGGCCGAATTAGCCTTTTCACATTAAACGGATACGGCTATAAAGAGCAGCGAACGCTGATTCCAAGTCTTTATTAACTATTCGCCGATCGTCTTTGGATGTCGGGTTATGGGCGTTTTTCAAGTTGAAAAATTGAATGCGTAATTAGAAAAAAATGAGTCAGAATTGCTCAAATCCCAATGTTAAAAATGAGAGCACTCCAGTTGAACAATACCTATTGTCCAAAACACTCATACTTCACAATATTCTATTTGGCGCTGAAAAGACCGTAAAAATTTTTTTACCTAAATTATGCGTTCAGTTTTCGCTCCAAAAAATATTTATAATTCGGCAGAGGCGCTCGGCAGATAATGAAATTAGATTTGTAGTCACCGTTCGATGCTCTTTAAAGTGTTATAAGACTCATTTGGAAAGTTCTTGCGTCAATCGAATGAATCCAGTATTTTTTAGATTTGATTTGGTTTCATAAATTCTATCAAAAAATTAGAGGAAAATTTTTTTCCGGAACTTCATTTCAAATGAAAAATTCCCTTGTTATTTCATTTTTTCTGCAAAAAACTACTTTGACATTCGAAAAAAAAATGTTTTGCTTCAAATTAGCACCATCATATTCTTTCTGATTCTGAGCATTTAGCATTCGCATTCCTTTGAACTGGCGTTTGCACAAATTTTTGTTTTCGTATCATTCTCTTCTCATTCGAAATTGAAACCTGCCACAATAATGTGTGCACCTCAGCTGAGAAATTCTTACAGATTCAGTGATGGTAGCTAGTAGCATTTTAATATCTGCTTGAAGCAAACCAAAAAGCATCAATTTCCGAACAAATTTTGAGAAGCCTTGCTCTCCAAAGCTACCGCGTTCGAAGTTAAGTGCTTAATTGTTACGCATGTTACTTTGGAACTCGATTTCTTAGTGGCGAGGGTGTGAGCTCTAAAAAAGCGCACGAGAAGGCGCCTAATGCTTCGCTAGGGAGTTTGTTTGGAGAAATTATTAGTTACATAGCTAAAATTCTCGACCTAAATACATCAGATGTACTTAAATCACGAGGTATTTTCTGAATTGTTAAATTGCAGTTGAACGAGAACGGAACGATTGTGCTGAACAACTCATTGTAATAGGCTCTAATTGAACTAGTAACCGAGTTCCTGCAATGCAAACATCATAAGGCCATTTGCGTGTGTAATCAGAATTGTTGAGTTTTTCTATTATACCACAGTTAATGTAAGGTACACAGTCTAGCTAGAAATTACGCGCAGCTTAGAATTTACTCTGCTGCGGTATATTATACTGGGGAACAATGTAGCTGTTTGTTACGCCAATTAGGAGATTTTCAAGCAAGCTTGTACCCACGCTAATCAACAATGTATTCTGGTAAATTGTGGTTACTTCTTATTGTATCAGGAACTGACCCAGCTATGCGTATTTTTCCTCTTTTTTTAACGGAACTTTCATGTGGTCCAAATAATTTTCTGCCAATGTTAACAGCTTTGTAATGTATCTTTGCAGCTCGTCAACTTCACTATCCAAGCGTTTGTGTCCAAGTGCCTCGAGCTCCTGCATCACAAGTCTCAACACCTCCGAGTGGCGTTTCATATGCAATTCCTTTCCCGAAACCGGTTTGTTTCGACTTTTTCTCCACTTACAAAGTGGCAGAAACCATTTTTTTCCAGATCCAGTACTCTGCTACTCAATTGCACTATGAGAACATGAAACACCGTTGTAAAATGCTGGACTCGGAAAACCAACGTTTGATGCGAGTACAGAATGAATTGATTACGGATGCAAATCGAAGGGTTGAGGTTGGTAATTGGTAACCTAATATTATTTGCTAACTACTAGGTATCGAGTAAAAATCTGGCTATTGTGGCTAGATAAATTGAGGGAATTCTATCATGTATATATTATTCATTCATTCTTTTTCTACAGCTTCTAGAATTTCACAGCCCATTATCCGGGTGAGAAGGAGGGGGGGGGGGAGTGGGGACGGACGTTTTGGGATATCGGGTTAGGCACAGGAAGGAAAAGAAGGACGGCTATGTGAGATTTTCAACATTATTCTACTCGTAAATAACACAATATTTTATCGAATGGGAAGATCCAGTTGTAGAGTTATTGTTGGTATAGTGTAGGATCCCTATACCCTAAAAATATCTCCTTAGCAGAAGCATAACATGAACAAACAGTGCTCAGTGATTCTAAAACTTCAATGAAAATGTGCTAATGGGTTCGACCTAAACATACATTCACATAATCTTGACATAGTTACAGGAATCCTGCGATTTTAACTCTTAAAGGGATTAGTACCATAATTTTGAGAAACATCGAAAAGTACACATGCCTCAAATTTTCTTCCAACAAATCAACTTTCAGATGCATGTAAATGAAATCCGCATGCTGAAAGAGGACAATAAAAAGTTGGCGACTACGAATAAGGTATGGACACTGCCTGATTTTCTAGCAAATTTCAGAAATTATTCATTTTTCTCAGGAACTCCGAGATCTGTGCTGTTATCTCGATGATGATCGCCAAAAGACACGTCGCTTAGCGCGAGAATGGCAGAAATTTGGCAGATATTCAAGTCAAGTCATGAAACAGGTGAAAAAATTTTTTTTGGTGTTTTGGTGCTACGGATTATTTCAAGATTTCAAAAAGATGGTTTTTTGTTTTGCAGGAAGCTTCAAATTTCACTTGCTTTTGCTTGTAAATGATCAAAATATTTTTTTTTAAATATTTGGCGATTAGGTTATGTAGCTTTGTAGAAGACATTTCTTTTGAGGCTACCACGCCACTTTTTCCAAAATTCATGGTAACAAGCTGGCAAAATTTCTACAAAAAATCTCAGGATTTCTTCTGAAGGGAATAGCTAGCTCGTCATCATATGAGGGGGTGCTCCCTCCCCCCACTGGATTTTTGATACCTTCTGAGGAAAAGAATTCTAGCAAGGAAAATAATCCAAATCGTATATGAAAGTTGTTTTAGGAAATGTCGATTTATCAGCAACGTCTTCGGGAAGCTGAAGAGCGTCATAATCAAGTTCTACGTGAAAATGAAGAATTGAAGCAATTGTGTCTGTACCTGGATGAACAGCGACAACGATACGCCGCTTATCATGCTGATGATGATAAAGAGAGCGAGGATTTAGGTAAATATTTATTGAAGATACTCGTAAAAAGTGAGGTAAAAAGCATTTTCAAATTAGTTTTTAAGCGGCTTGAAAAAGGAGAAAATTTCTTATTTGATCATTTGTCCACACTTCTGTACTTTCTCCGAATTCTACAAGAAGAAACATCATACTCTTAATAATCAAATTCTCGGAAAGCCATTTTAGGATGCGGTAGCAGTGAAAGAAGTGAAGAATGCGATGACTCCAAGGATTTGTGCGACAACCCGTCTATAAATCAGCAAAAAGTAGCGTTTATCCATCGTTTACAGTAGTCTTACCGTAATCTTACCGCTTCTAGGAACATACCTTACGAATGCTTTGTCAAAGAATTGGCACACCAGCTGACACCAATCATCTGTCATCAGTGGATCAGACGGCAGATGCCGAGCGCCTCGTTAATTACATCCATTCATTAGAGGGACGAATAAAGCAGTTGGAACGAGCCAGCCAGCAGACTGTGAGCATTTTCGAAATTTTGACCTTTTATGACAACAAAATCATTTTTTCTAGGGTCTATGGCACTCTGCATGCACGTTACTCTCAGAAAGTGATGAAAAGACGATCATCGACAGATGCGATGAGCTGTGTAGCGAAGCGATTTCGCAGAAAGTCGCACCAAACAATCATAAGGCTATGCAAATGTCCTCATGCAGTGAGTTTTACCTCTTATGGAATGTTGCAGCCTGAAAATTTTGCTTCTCCAGGTACCATGACCACTTCTGGAACAACATATGCAAGTTCTGAAACAGATATGGAAAGTGCCGTTTATGTGATGGGCGATGAGATTGGTGAGTCCAAACATTGTAACATCTCTTTAAAATATCTTTTTTCAAAGTTGTCATTTTGTATTATTCATTAGATAAATGATTAGGTATTATTTGAACTTGATCTTGATTTTTTTCCGAGTAATTGAATAGACGCACATTTTGGCTTCATATTGAGCACCCGCGATTTACTGTTGAAAATCAATTCAACCAGTGATTGCTAAAAATTGTTAAAATTGTTTTGTGATGTCAGTTTAGTATAGAAGAACTCGTGCAAAATTTTCGATCGCTGGGCTCTTTTTCTGCAGCAATTACCTTTCGCAAATATACTTGCTAGTTTTGCGGATAACCTTTCTCAAGACTACAGTATGCTACCGTAATCTCGTGCTGCACGAAGTTACATAGAATTCTGTCTGTTTCGAAACAATATGAGTGCTATTCTGATTAAAATCATAGGAAAAAACTTACAAGGAATGTAATGGTTCTTTCAATTCCTTGTAAGGTTACGGTAGCATACACGCGATTTTACAAAAGGACCTACACCCATGAAGTTCGGCAATAATATCTAATTCTTTTTAGATGAAATCGGATCTTTGGAAGTACGATCATTGACAAGGATAGAAGAAGATGGTGAAGATAAGGAGAAATGTCTAGATGAAGTCGAAGAGCAGAGTGCACAACTGCCGCCAGCAATTGCGCCGCTTAGCGAAAGTCTTGTAAGTACTTACATTGATTTGTTTTTTGATGGAGCATTGTAAAATAAGGGCATTAGTTGCAGTTGAATGTTGGACGCCTTTCACTGACCAGTTCGGATCTTTCTCTGTCTTTGAATGAATCAACGGAGGAACCATTACCTCGCTGTTCCTCATCCTCAAACGGCGCGCTGCCGACGGCTGGTATGTTTCTTTTTTCGTTGCGATTTTATCATTGTGATCATTTTATCATCATCAGCTCGTGTGCCTCGATTTTCCTGGAAGGGAGCACTCTTCCGAAAGTCACTGGGTGGAATTGGACGAGAGAGTGCTGACTCTGGGAGAGCGTCGGTTAGTTTCGAATCTGTGTTTTAGCGAACTTTTTAATTTTTGGGATTTTACAATACCTCAGAGTAACGTTTTCCTGTTGAAGTTTTGCGCATTGCTCTTTCAAAATCGTGATTATTTGAATCTTCAAAATAAAAAAAAAGAATGCCATTTGTTTGCCATTCAAGCTAATGCAGCTCTTCTAGGCGGACCGCAATCTTCCACTATCATGCACCAACGATAGTCGATGTGGAATCACTGCTGTCTGAAGAAGCATACAGAAATAGTCATGTTGATATGTAAATATTCAAAAATTTCATAGCAATACTAGTTCTTCCTGAACAGAATTTCTGGCTTTTCAACTCAATGACCTCATTACGCATTGCCTTACAAGGTCTTTTGTTTTGTTGCATGAATTGATATGATAATAACAAAGTTTCTGAAGTTTGATTCGGTTGGGGATACATCATTATTGGCAAATTATAATGAGAAGGCAATGAGAGAGTGTCGCCACTGGCGACGACTTTGCAAGATCAAAGCAACAGCGTTTGTGATTGAGGCTACAGTCGAGTAGATTTTCCGCTCAGTATAGTGTTTCTTCACGTGCATATTTTACCTGCAGTGTGCTTACACCGCAGGTAAAATGCGGTAAAATTTGCACATGAAGAAATAGCTACGTATATACGCCTGTGACTAAGGCCAATTGCGCAAAATGCCGGCATTACTGGTGTGGCTATTTGTTCACGCGCAGATTTCACCACAATTTACCTGCAGCGCAAGCACACTATATTAAACGGAAATCTACTCGACTGTACTAGAACTAGGTCACGGCGCAAACGGTGACTACAGTGAACTTGAACTGCAGTGTAGGAGGAAACTGAAAGAGGTTGCCCGCCAAGCACGCATGGTTTCGCCCATTCGCTTTGGTGTTTTCCTCTTTAGATTCGCTTGTAAGTGATAAGTTCAAGACTTACACACCATGGCTCTGGAAGAACGAAAGTTTCTCCGTTTTTTTACAAATGCATATATACCTCGAAAAGGTGCCATATTTGACTCAAAGTGTTCCCTAAAACTGATAGCATAAGACCACTGGTGATGCATATGATTTTATCTGGACATTGCGTTAATTGAAGTTTTTTTCATAATCACGTTCCCTTGGCGCATCAATGGATGCACTCAATAAATAAATAAATAAACTTCGACTCTGAAAGGGTACTAGCGGACGATTTGAGTGACTCTCAGTCGCTTACTCTTGTCTTCTTTTGGGAGAGGGATACTGGAGTAATACAAATGTTGTTGTAATGCCATGGCAAGGCTGAAGTACAAGCTAAATTTAGTGATTAGGCGACCGTTCGCGAAAACGTTGAAGACAGAAGTTACGCCATTGATTTCTTCAGTCACATACTCACTCCTTTATGTTTAAAAGGAGAAAAATGACAGGAAAAATGACGCAAGGTTTGATTTGACTCTTGCAGTCCCATGTACTCACAAATGGTGGTGATCATGTTCACGACAAAATACAAACCACATCTTAATAACCAATGCAACCGATTGATACTTGTTTGTTGAAGACATGAAAATTTCCAGACCAGGCTTTTCTTCTTCATTCATCCTCAATCGTAGCGACGTTTTCCACCCCTCTAACTCAAATTCCCTTCCCTATCGTCCGTTACACTCTCTCCCCAATTCACCCCGATATGACCTAGGACAGGTTCACTCAACCCTACCCTTTAGTGTTTAAGCATGAAGTTCCAAAGCATGCGTTGCACTGCAGACACTTTCTGCTGGTTTTTGAGTCCTTAGCAGTCAAATGATTACCAGCATTTGTCCGCAATAAGCATTTACACTTTTGCGTTTGTAGAATCTTTGAATCTTTAGCCCCCTTGTTGTCACTCGAATTTGATCAGCTTAAGCGTTGAAACTTTATCTTGTAGTAGCTATTGTGACATCTCGTTGAGCATCATAATAGCCAGTATGACCGCAGAGCACAGGACTTGAAGATAATGAAATATGCTGTATGTTCTTGTTCTAGATGATTTGACGATGATTTCGTTGTATGCATCACTGAACAAATCTATGAATGACGAAAATTTATTATCTACAGCAGTCTTCCATATGCAATTCAATTCTTTAACTCAATGAAAACAGTCTGTGAGGAATCACAGTTTACATAGACCTGTGTGTTTTAATTCAACACCCCTCCCCTGCTTTAGTACTTATATGGAGGTTGAGACCCGGATTTTAAGATCAAATTCGCTCATTACTATCAGCTTTGAGTATCACAGCACTCTCTTCAACGTTTCGCAATATTCAAAAAATTTGCAGAGTTGCGAGCTAAGCCAGCGCTAAAGTCAACACTATCGCAAATGGTTCCGCAATCAAACGTTCTGCATCTGCTGGATCTTAGCTTCATATTGCTTCAACGTAATGGTGAACCTTAAAAAAACTTTGTATCAAATGTAATCTCTAGCCATGTACTACTCTAGCTGGTAAGCAACAACAGCTTTTGAGAAACCGCTAAAATGTTCATTTTCACCTTCTCTATTACAGCGTAGAGAATGGAAGTAAAACAACTTATGGCTATCGCTTCTACAATTTTGTTTATTACTGCACTCATCGTCAACATTGCGTTTATTTACATCGTTTACAACAACGGGAAAAAGAGTATTGGTTCCTATAAATACTTGCTAGCATTTTTTTCGCTCTGCAAATTCTCTACTCTTCCTTTGAATATGCGAGCAAGCCGGTAAGAAATGCTTTACTTGCTATAAATAGGCTATTACCAATTCGTAAAAACAGGATAGATTTGAGAGGTAATCCTCAATTATTGTTATTATAAGGGGTCCATATCTGTGGCAGTTCTTGCACGATTTACAATAATGGTTTATATGAAGATTTGCCAAAATGGGAAACGTTGTTGCTATTATGCTTCTGTAATGAGATGTGTGGCACGGGAACTATCTTATTAGCCTCACATTTTTTATCGCTATTTCATAGTATGCAGGTGCAATTTTGTACCTTGTATGGAGCAGTACAGCTTCGGAGATTTGTGTAGCATATGCATAGCATATGTATATTTAGACCTGAACAAAGTATGTATTTTGAACTGCCCTTCCTTGCGCTCTGGATAATTCCAATGTTGCCTTGGGGTCTACTTCATGCATTCACGGCCTATTACAGCTTCCGGCCTACTGAAGAGTTCTATGAATATGCGGAAGAATCAGTCCGTGACACTCTTCGTCGTAAATTAAGAAAGATGTCATTCTTTTGTATATTTACTTATGTGAGTTTAACCTGTTACTGCCTTTCATAAAAATAATGTGATTACATTACGCTATAAAAATAATGTAAGTACATCATGATCTAATCCATAGCTCCAGAAAATCGAAGGCGGAGTGGTGACTCTTTATTGGAAAGCCTTAGGATTGGCAATATCAACAGTCATGTTGATCTTTACTATCGGTCTCATGGTGATCTGATAAAAATAAAGAAGACCTTACGGGAAATGGTCATGAGCAAAATGGCAGTTGCATTTCAAAAGCAGCTACTTGCTGCATTAACTGTTCAGGCGCTTGCTACAGACTTCTGGAAACTTAAAAGCAGCGTCCACCCAAGATCCACCCAACTCAGATTAGCATATAGTTATTAGGCTGGCCCCAGGAATATCCGACCCCACCATTGAAATCTTGAAAAAGCACTATAGCAATAATTCTAAATATCTAATTATAACGACTTCGACAGTGCTTGAATCCCCTCGCTATAATATTTTTTTCACTGAGTATAAGATAGCTATGGTGAGCTTTTCAAAGGATATCCGCCTGTTATTCAAAAACAGCAATACGGATAGTGTGAAGTATTCGATTAGAACCAATATAACGAGTAGCTCGCACTCATAGGCCTTGTGAAATGAGGTTTCTGGGACCTGAATAAATTACTTCTGAAGAAAGTATACTCCGTTTTGTATGCTGACAGCCTGGTGCTATCGTAAACAGTAGCCAACATTGTAGCTGTTACAGCCGGCTTTTTTCGTCGAATGAGCAAATATCGAATACCGCCAATGGGAGAAATTTTTGCACGACCAAACATCAAGTATTTTTGAAAATGCTTGAAAAATGAATGGTTTGGTTGTGATTTCTGAACAATACAAGTTTGAATGTTCAAATATTTACGCATGCCAGGTTCGAATTACGAAGTAAGCGAGTAATATAATTAAACTAGCTGGCTTACCCGGCTCCGCCGTATGTTCCGAATAGAAAATTCCATTTCTGAACCGATCCGGACCAAACTTGGCACACATACACTTCGGGCCCCGGCGGGTGTCATAGGCTACTTTTCGTCATCGATCGATATCGATAAAATCGAGTTGAAGAAATGGAAGTAGTTGAAGAAATTGAGCGCCTTAGTATCTGGCGAATAAATTGAAGCTGCCATTTAGATATTTGAACATTAGGAGGCTCAAGTTCGATCTTAATTGTAATCTAAAGTGGCTTATAGCGTCCGTTTTTCTTAGTTGCAAACGACTGCTAGTCACCGCTTGCATCAAAGGCGCAGAAAACGCGAAAACAGGCGTATACCAAGCCTTCGTTTTAAAAGTGGTCGAGTGGGACAGTGTCGGCCAACGTTGAGTTGCATAGTCGCTGTAGGACCCTATGATCTCTACTGTAGTGGCATGGCCTGCTGTCTCGAATTCGCACCTAACAAGGCTTTCCTTTCTAGGGCCTAATTTTTCAAACTTCCCGAAAGCGACCATATTCAAATAATTGCCCTTCTACCAAAAAGGCAAGGCCATGCTTTGCACGCGAAATATGATAGCCAATCCCCAAAATTGATGTTACTTTGTCAAGCATTACATCCATTGCTGCGAGTGAACATGCATGAAAGGTTTCTGAGTCGCAAAGGTGGTAAGCTTACCTTATAAAGGAAATTAGCAGAACATTGAAAATATGACCTTAGGACGGAAAATCCATACTTCAATTCAATTGCCAACGAGACGTTGACGATCCTTCAAAATTTATGCAGCTTTGCGGATACTTTATGAACGTGTAACGCAAGCTAATCAATCTACGGCTTTTTGCTGCTGCTTTTTGGCTTGCTCGTACTCTATTTCAAGTCAATTTCACGCTCTTGAGTAACTCTATGGCAGCCTTGTAAGCAGGTGCGATAGGGGGAGCCGGGCTCTCCCCAGGTGAAGGGGGTCTCGGCTGTTTCCGACCTTCCAGGTGAAGGGGGTATGTGAGCCTGGGGGGGGGGGGGGAGGGAGAGAGAAAAGGTAAAAATGCGTGGTATGAAGTGCTCTAATTTGTACCTTATTTAGGTACAAATTGGAAAAATTTTTTTCTAGAATATAAAAAAAATAATATTAGGTTGAACCGGAAGTTCTTTCGCACCAAATCCAAAAATTCATAATTTCCGAATTTTCTGACCGATTGGACCTCTCTTATT